ATTAATAATTTATTATTAATAAAATAATCTAAAATTAGTTCAGTGCTTGAAACTTCAAGAATCACACAATGAATGACTTTATTACCAATATTTCTAGCTTCTGTGTAAAAAAAAAAAAAAGTTGAAAAACAGTTAGAAAACAAGCAGCGTTGTCATAATTACAGCAGAAATAATGGATATATCATATCCTATATGGGAGAGGGCATTCAAATATTTTGTTGGACAATGGGGGTCAAAACATTGAGAATTAAATTATAACTTTATAATTGTATAACTTTATGAAGTTATAATTTAATTACTAATTAAAACAGTGTTCCTAAGAAAACATGTTGTGTTTGAACTATTAATCAGAGAGAGGGGAAAAAGGAAAATCAATTTGAATATTTAATAAAGAATTTCCGTTTTTCCCCCGATATCTTTGTTCACCTTCTTGTGATACTGTAGTTAAATCTTAATTAAACTGTAATCAAATAATTCGAATATATTAACTATACACATCTAAAATGTGAATCTATACAGTGGGTTCCAAAAGTCTGGGACCAATACTGATTGATTGATTGATTGATTTAACAATTAAAAAAAGTTTAAATACTTTTAAAGCAAATTGTTTGGAAAATGTACAAAAATGTCAGAATTTTACATGCATTTTTAAATTATTATTTCTTTTTACGTTTAAAGAACATTTGGACCCTCAGTTTATTATAAAAGTAAACATACTGCATAGCAGGACTGACCCAGAGAGTGAACATTCATGAGTTTGGATGGCGGCGCTCACTAGTGCTGAACACTGTGCTCACTCAGCACTAATAAGCAGACCAGTTCTTCACTACCAAACAGAGGAGAGGAAACAGAAGACAAGACAAAGTCTGATTGTCTGATTGCCAAAAATCTCATTTCTGTCAGGACCACTATCGTCAAAGATGATTGACAATTAGCATACAGTTTGGATTGGTGGTATGGTTCTGTTCTGGGCAAGAGACAGGAGAAGGGATCTAAGGAGAAAGATCCAGCGCGGATGCGGCAAACATCGTGTGCACTTGAGGGTGGACCCTGAGGCCGGACCAGTGATGAGAATTCTTTCTGAGGGTCTGGGATCGGGGATCCGCTCCCCAGAGCACCGCTTAGGCAGAAATGTGGGTTCGTGGGCTCCCGGACATCGGGGAGAAAGAGAAACGCTTTCTTCTCGATATGCTGATTTCGCCTTCTGAGCTGTTCGCAACATCCGTTGACAAGGTGGTCGGTAAATTCAGGGAGGCGAAAGCGCGCTCGGCGGCTTATAAGTATTTTATACCGCGCCGGTCTATGTCTGCACCCAAACATGAGGGGGGTCCTGGCCCATCCTGGTCTGCGGATCGGAGACAGGGCCAGGCGGTTAGTGTGACCACTCGTGGTCCTCCTCCTCCGAGTAGATCGATCATCAGGAATCATCTGATTGTCATGGGATTATGACTTTAGAGGGAAGACTAGGTCAGACTGTGGCTGTGCGAGGACAGTCAAACACACACATACACAGAAATGCTGAGACGGAGCTAAACAGCTTAGTCATGATGTTAGAGGTCAGGAATGAGGTGGTGTACGCTCGTGACATTTTCTAAGGCAGACAAAACTCGAACATGAAACGGCATTTGCAACTCATTTTACTGTCAAATGATTACTGGGTGAAAGAGGATTGCAAAAGGAAGTAGAAAAAAATTTGATTACATTCATTGGGAACTGATTGATAAAATTGTGGAAAACAATGGCTAAATAATATAATATTTCAAAATAATATTTTAATATTATTATAATAAAACACCCTACTGTTGAAAAATTTGGGGTCGGCCTTTTAATCTTTCTGAAAGAAGTCTCTTATGCTCAGTCTCTTATTTGATTAAAAATACAGTAAAAAATAAAGTTATAGTGAAATATGATTACAATTTAAAATAACTTTTTCTATTTGAATATATTTGAAAATGTAATTTGTTCCTGTGATTCAAAGCTGAATTTTCAGC